GGATGTGCTCCAATGGGTCCATGTTTCTCCTGTACTCCTGAGAACTCTACATCTGGATGCAGTGCTCCAGGTGAGGTCTGAGCAGAGCAGAGGGACAGGGTCACCTCCCTCATCTTGCTGGTCACACATCTTTTGATGCAGCCCAGGATACAGTCGGCTTTCTGGGCTGTGAGGGCGCATTGTTGGTTCATGTCCAGCTTCCCATCCACGAGTACCACAAGTCATTTTTGCCAGGGCTGTGCTCCATCCTTACATCCCCCAGCTTGTACTGTGAGCAGAGGTTGTCATGACCCAGGTGTAAAACCCTGCACTTGGATTTGTTGAACCTCGTAAGTTTTCATATGGATCCAGTGCCTGTCTAGGTCTCTGTGAACAGCATCCCATTAGCTGGCGTCGTCTGCAAATTTGCTGACAGTGCACTTGATCCCACTGCTGATTTTATTGAAGAAGATATTAAAGAGCTTCAGTCCCAGTATTCACCAATCTCTATCTGGACATAGAGCCATTGACCACCACTCTCTCGGTATGAGGCCTTCAGGTACTTCCAGACCATTAGCACTGCAGGGAAAGATCATAATTTGATTTTGTTTCATGATCTCAGAAACTAACTGAACTGAATTAACTGAAAGCAATCCACTAGTGTTTGGATATGATCTCTATAACCTTGTTACCTCTAACAACCTACATATACCAAGAAGAAAACCTCACCTCTAGTTGTTATGTCAGAACAGGTGGAGAAAGTTGCTCAACAAGTTGACTTTGCTTTGCTTGTAGAGTTTCTTAGTGAAACAGTTATATGGGAAGCAGTGATTGATTCAGTACCTTGTGCTTAAATCACTTCTGGTTTTGATAGTTTCTCTTCTCTTTTTTTTTTTTTCCTAGGGTGCTGATATTAAACTCTGGGAAATCAAAGAAAGCGTGTAATCACTTGGCACTACTTAAAATGCGTATTTCTCTTTATAAAGTGTTACAGGGTGGAGTCTACTGTAGCTATTCAGTCTGTATAATTAATATCTTTTTTGCCTATTTTGATGTATTTATATACATCTGTGCATCATTTAGAACAGATACCTGTTTTAAAAGGGTAAGTTTGATCATTTTCTCTTACAAGACAGAGTTAGCCAATTTTATAACATACCCTGGAACTTATTCTGTATAATTTGGACAAATGTTACATGCAGTAAAGACAGGCACACACAGAATGCTGAGACAGGCTCGGGCCTCCTGGTGCTAAGACTTGCTTGGGTTAGTTGAGGTACTTAAGAAGTTCCTCAGATAGAGAAAATTGGAAAATGGTCTGATATACAAGGTATGTGAGTTATGTATTTATTAAGGTCAGGAATTCTCAGTCTCTCTTCTTAGCTCTGTATCCAACATAGGAGTGAGAAGGAGAGATAGAACTAGGGAACCCATTCTGTTCCACTCTTTGGAGATGGGTATACCTGTTTTTTAGGAACTAGGCACAGAGTGTTGTGGGATAGTTGGTACAAAGCAGCCAAGTTTCATACTAAGTCCTCCTTTCAACACCAAATTTAAAGCAGGACTTTAAGGAATGAAGAGGAACATTCTTAAAAGAAATCTTACTTAGTCAGCTTTTCATTTTGGAAGATGCTGTGTTACTTTTCTATGGCCTTGGTACAGGGGGAGGAGTAAAAAGCTGACTGGTGCCATCAGGCATGGGCACACTGGAATGTGCTCCAGCACAGCATAAGGTGGTGTGTACTGGTCCCCAGGCTGGTCCCACGCATCTTGTGTTTCACCAGACACACGTTTTGAAGATGGCAGCCTTCAAAATACTTATAAGAGGGTCAGATATGGGTCTTTTTCTTTTTTTTTTTTAGTGACTTTTCTTGAGCTAAGAGAATTACTTGTGAAAGAAGCATATGTTGCAGACGTCTGTTATTCATCACTTTTTCTGGCATTCTTTTTCTTCAGAGTCTCCCTCCTGCTGTCTTTGGCAGGGTAAAACCTCAAGGTTTGGCACTAGCAGGAGGTTGATGATGTGGCAGTCACTCATCAAAAAGATGTTGGGTTGCAGGGCAGCAGCTCTGTATCTGCCTCTAGAGGGAAGAGGAGGAATTGTGTCCGTATCCTAGGGAATTAATTGAGTTGAAAAATCTGTGGGATTACTTTACTCTTCCCCCACCAGCGTGTTATTATTTAATTGCTCTCCATTTTCTGAAGAATTTTGGAGGGGGCAGATAGGGGGGAGGAAAGATCTATTTAAAACTGCTCTCTTCTTTGATTCATATTTTGTTCATGATGTATTTTTATCAGCAGTACTTTGTGATCCAGCTGCCACTTCTAAATGTCACTTACTTGAATAAAAAATGTAATTACATTTTTAAGAGTGACATAAGCACTGAAAGTAGTATCTGAATCACAAAGTGCTGTTTGTGCAGCAGCTTTCCCATGACAGGAGGGGAAGTTTATGAAGTCCAGAGTACGCTGTAATAAAAGTGCAGTGAAGATAGTCAAAATCACATGTCTGTAGGGTTTCCCATCTCTTATTAGGCTTTATGGTAGGGAAATTTCTACTTATAAATACACAGATAACATAAAAATGTGTGAACAGTATTTAATTACTGCTTGTTTTCTGACGTGAATTTATGTTTTTTTATTGAAATGGGTAAGCCTGCTTCCCAGCACTCCTTGGAGAATAGTTGCTCATGTTCCTGCTTACCCTGAGGATTGAAATGGATTTTCTTGGACTTCAGTATGTTCTCTTTGCAGGATTAGTGCCATCAAAAACTTTTACAAGAGATTGTTTGATTTAACGGAAGAGCTCATGCTAAGGCAATTCTCTCAGATTTCTGCCTGTAGAAGAAGTTAAGGAAGAAATGTTGAGTACTGTCCAGCTGTTCGCATCCATCTCTTGGTACCCAATAAAACGACATATATCAGTTGAACAGACAGACCAGTTCTCATTTTTTTTTTTAGTACCAGTTTATTCAAAAAAGGAGCAGTGTGATCATTTAAGTAATGGAATTGAAGGTTATTGTGTCTTTCTTTAGGTACCTTGTGTTTAAACAGTTTTTAACAAATTCTGTTTGAACTATCATAGTATGGCTTGGATTGGAAGGGACCTCAAGGATCATCAAGTTCAAGTCTCCCCGCCACAGGTGGGGTTGCTGGCCAAGCCAGTAATCCTTGGTTTTTGTACAACAGTGAGTGCAAGTCCAAAACACCCACTGATGGAGAGGACTGAGTGATGTTTGTAAGCCTATAAATTCTGTTCCAGTTAGCAAGAGGTTTCAGGTATTTACAACTGGAAGAGGATTTTCAATGCTGATGTTGTATTCTAAAGAAAAGAAAGAGTAGATTGCTGTGCACTGATTCTACTAGGTATGTTGTCTTCTACTAATGCTTAATTTTTGTTCTGTTGGTAGCAATTTAGGTGACTGTTGTGAAGGCTTCTATTGATTTTCATCTGCATTGTGTTGTAGGTGGGATTGTCCCAGAGTTTCCAAGATCTGTGACATTTTTGAACTGTGCAAGTGATGCTTTGCTGTCTGTTACTTGGGACCAGTAATAAACTCTTCCTTCAGATTTTGGTTTCTTTGTTGTGTCTTTTCCTACTCAGCATGTGCTGGCGTAACCCTGGGTCATGCCAACTCAGCACCTATTAGTGCAGCATATGAGCAGAAGGTAACTGGTCTGTCTTGCATGAAAGGCATTCACAGCAGCACAGATTTTGTGTAAGAGGAACTAGTACCCCCAAACTCCTCTTCAAAGTTTATTAACTCTCTTACGTTTACAGCTATTAATTTGCCTCTTGTTCGTGGGAGAGACCAGTTACGGGTCTCGCTTCCAGACAGCTTATGTAGGACATCCTGTAATAAAACTTCATCAAATAACTGAATATCAGGAAAGACTAAACATCAGCAGTGCTTTGTATGTATGCAGCAATGCTCATAAAATGCATGCATGGCTGTTTATCTCGTTACCAAGGTTGGAATCCATGTGCAGCTCTGCCTGGATAGCTGTTGACAGAGCATGGAAAACCTTTAGAGCCAGAAGGGGTAAAAGTTCAATTGGCATAAATCTATGCTGAATAAATTACTCCTGTCATGGACTTTCTAGGGAGGGATCTTTTCATCCTTCTCTGGAGATGCCTTTTAAAAAAATGAAGTTATTTTTAAAATTTTGTAGTAAGTCAATTAAGAAGTTAATAGAGCAGCTGTTGGTTGTAAACTCTGGGAATTTCATATTTTCAAATTTCAGTCAGAGGATACATTTCTCACTTAGGGAGCAAACACCACAGTCATCAGCTCTTCAGCCTCTGTACCCCTCTCAGTTCTAGATTTTCTGATTAGTAGGAGACTACTAAACCCATCTCTAACCTTCCCATTAGTACCAGGAGAACAAAGCAAGCTTGTCCTGGCTTATGTTTGTGAAGAACAGTGAGAGCGCAGTCCCTTCGTTGATCATCTCCTGAGCTTTCTACCAAATCTCTGAGGAGCAGATTTCTCCTGAGTCTCACAGGAGAGACCCTAAACTTGTCCAAGTTGAGCCAGGAACATTCCTTTATTCCCTGTATTCACATGGTGTATACTCAGCTATGATCTGTTGCCTTATATGGTGCATTTGCAGACTACAACTCCCAACAACTTCTTGTTTTTAAAACCTTGATTTAATGGCAAAATAATGACTGTATGGGTCTATGGACCAGCATATCCTGAAACAATTCTTGTTGTTGTCACTGGAAAGTAGTTTGATATTAGTCTTCTTGTGAAGACCTCCACTGTGTTCTGGCTATATGTTGCCTTCATTGTCTGGACAAAAAGCTTGGAAACATAAACAACATACAGCCAAAAGCTCAGACACTTGAAAATATCAAGTGAGTCACTAAGTATAGAGCTCCTTTTGCATTTCATGTTGTGTGTTTTATATTGCTTTGGTATTGCACTTGGATGATTTAAAAAAAAAAAAAAAAAAAAAAAAGTACAAATAAGTATTGCAAAAGAGTGAAAAGATTTTTCTTTTTATCACTATTTCAGGAAGTCATGAGGTGCAGTCCTGGACAAGAGCTACCAAGCAATCCTTGTGTCTCGTGTGGCAAAAAGTGAAATTACAGCTAATGCTAAGCATGTCTTTCCTTGTTGCTGTCTTTTGGTATTGCAGAAGGCTGTACAGCTTTTTAGCACAGCTACTGAAACGGTATGTTTCAATTCAAATGGTAGTATGCAGACTTTTAATTTTTGATGCTGTTGCTTATTTTGGTAAATATTTTCCTTTAGTAACTCCTCTTTGACACCTGTTTTATCATTTGGATTTCAGGTGGAGCAGCTACCTTCAAAGAAAACTCATAAGTAATCTTTTGCTGTCATTCTGTGTTCATTAATCCCCACCCTGCCCTTTAAATGCAGAACAGTGGAAGGTAACTAATCTGCAAATTAATCTTGATTTAGAGAATCACAGCGTGTTGGAAGAAGTTGATCTTCTTACTTATAGTGCAAGAGAATGGAGAGAAGAAACAAAGCAGGCCAAACACATGAGGGAGGTAAGAGTTAATCTCTGCATGAGGGTGGGGGAGAACTGTCTGAGAAGAGCAATTCCAGTGCAAGCAGCTGCTACAGCTCCCAGAGCTTGCTGCACCAGCTGCTTAAATGAGAAATGGACAGCATTACCATGCATAAAGACTGCAGTTGCAATCTAGATCAGAATTCAGTCTTGCATCTTTTCTGAATTCTTCCCTGTAGTTCAAGCCACCCAAGCAGTAGTTCTGAGTGCTCTGGATGACTTTCATTACAACAATGGCAAAATATCATCCTGAGTGCTGCAGCCCAAAAAGCCTGGTTTTAGGCAGTGTCTCTTGTATTTTTAAGCTGCCAGCTGCAATCATCTTAATAATCATACATTTATCAGGCTTTCAGTCCTGGATGGCTGAACTCCTGAGCTGGGAATCTATTTAGTTCACGGTTCAGTAATGTTAGATAGCTGCCTTCTGTCTGCTTACGTGTTTTTCAGTTGTGTATGTTGTGTGCATGGACTTATATCCCTAACAGGCAGAAAGGGCAGCTGCAGTTCTCACAAATACCTAAGTTATTGCATGTGCAGAGGGCTGTTAGCAGTTGTATCTTCTAGCTACTGAGAGAGGCAGTGCAGCAGAGGGCTTGGCAGGTATGGTGTAGTTCTCTGAAGGGCCTGACAGGTGCTGGCCGTTATTTTAAATTGTGATGGGGTTGGGCCTCAAATGATGAAGAAGAGCAAATATCTCTTTTATAGCTCTCTGTTTCAACTATGTGAAGTGTTAGTCATCAAGGGAGTCTCAGAAACCACGGTCTGGATTTGTACTTTTCCCATACAATTTCTAGCTAAAGTAGCTATACTGGTGCTACAGTAGTAGTATCTGTTAAAGTTTAGTGTCAAATCCAGTTAATCAACAACTTTACATCGTAGTATCCTGCTGTGAAATATAAGAATAGCATGGGACAAATGCAACACCAGTCTGTATTTCTGATTATCTAAGAACGGTGGGAACATTCAACATGTAATGCTGAGAGAGAGGGCAGGGAGTACAGTAGTACTGAGAGAGATTGACTGGCTATCTGCACTGGACAACAGCTATGGGGTTATCAGCTGTTCTGTGCAAGTTTTTCAGGAAACCGTTAAGAAAGGAAGTAACCCTTACCTTGGTCCTGAGTAGTGCACAGGATCTGCCTCAAAATACTGTTCTCTAACATTATTTCTGTAGAACAGGAGACAATGTGTACTTGTATTCAACATCCTTACAAGACCAACAAATCAATGAATTACAATTGCATCCACCTTCTGCGTAAAAATGAGGAAGCCTGTTAAAAAGAACCTAAAAGGCTGCTAAGAGACTAAGTATTTATGGTTAGTGTATTTGGCATATTGCTTTGGGTCATGGCAGTGGAGTCACAGAGTAAATGTGTACAAGGGACTTAAAGTGTAGAAGAAAGCTGGTAGGGATAAATAGCTCCGTAAAGGAGTTATTAGAAAAAAAGAAGAGCTCTTTCAAAAACTTGGAGCCATGTCTAAATGGTAAATGGAGAAGGGATCCAACTTTTCCAGATTAAATACAGAAAAACAATGCCAAATGTGCCCAGAACACATAGCAAGACTGAAGGTGATCTGGAGGAACAAGTAACTAACTAAAGATAGCACAACCTCTAATAGATTTGCAAATATGTATCAAGCAGTGGGTCTTTCAGAAGGTCCTCCAGTGTGTTAGATGTTAGAGCTGAAAAGGAGGCTCAAGGTTGGTGAATAGATGGTTCTAATGGGTTGAGGTCATCGCAGTAAGAAGACATTTTAGAATGAGGTCTCACGAGAACCTAAACCAGCCTCATCTGCTTGCTGTCACCAAAAAGGAAGTCCTTTCCTTGTTTCATTGCTCCATTTTCCTCACTTTGTTGGTTCTTACGTGTTCTGTTGGATGTGGTTTGCTGATACATCTGGTCATCCTGAAAGAAGAGGCCTTGACTCCCTGCTCTCATCTGCTCCTGTCACATGTTCCCAGGACACATCTTATGCTGGCTCTGGCATTCATCTGATCCTTCCTTGAGCTTCCTGAACTTTTCTTACTGATCTTTTCTGATTTGGTTGATCCTGTAAATGTTTATGATAGCAACAGTGCAAAGTCTGAAGTAGTGAAGTTTAGAAAGAGCATGGAGTCCTTCTTAAGGAGCAGTACCAATTTTGTTTACAAAAACTATGATGTTAAATCGTTTTTGTGTATATAAAGCTTATAAATATACTCCATCTTTTCCCTAGTTCTCTGTTATGACTAGTTGGAATTAGGCTCCAGTTTAATGCGAGTTTGATCCAAGGTTTTAACTGCTTATTGCTAAATTTCTATTTGCTCTTTTTTAGGCATACAGTGAATTATTTCAGAACTATCATATCAAATATCTGCGACAGGTCAGGAAGGACAACTATTGCATCCTAAGAGCAGTGCTTTTTCAGATATTCAGCCAAGGCATTCCTTTTCCATCGTGGATGAGGGAGAGAGATATATTAAAGGTAAAATTCAGTTCCTAAATGGATGTGATCCAGGTGCCCTTGCACTGTAGAAGGAATGAACAGAACAGACAGCTGTCTTTGTTAAACAAGAGAAGTGATTATTGTATGAGTGGGAGTAGAGAAAAATTATCAGAATTTAAAGAGAACTTTTTAAAAACTATTGGAGCTGTGCTTCACTGAAAAAGTGTCACTGATCCAAACAAAATTAAATAACATGAGGCTTAAAGGAAAAAAAAAAAAAAAGGCAGCAGGATAAACATTGCTGCCACTCTGCTATTTGTTGGTCCCTTAATCCAAAAGGATGTTTGACTCCTCCTCATTTACATCCATGCAAAATCCAGTAGCTTGTTTAGGAGCATAGCTGAAGAAAGCATTCAAGCAGGTGTCCTCAGTATGTTGCTAGAGCAGAGTGAGTTCTGCCCTAAGTCCCTGGAACTCTGTCAGGAGACAGCAGCAAAGAGGTGGGGATCTGTAACTGCTGCCTGTGAGGGCACTTCTGCCAGCTGGAAGGTGCCTGGAATTCTAGAAGCCTTACTGCGCTCGGATGCATACAGCTTTTCCAGAGTATGGGTTGTGTATTTTGCTGAGAACATATTTTCTTCTTTTCTGGCTGGCACTAGTTAAAAAGTTTCTTAAGGACTTGGCAGCCAAATTGAGTTTCCTTTTAACATTTAATGTGTTCTGAAGCCTATTTTTATTTTTTGTTTGAACTGTACAACCAGAAGATAGAATCACATCATAAATTAAAATGTGTTATAATCTTGGTAGGCAGGTTTATATAATTTTATAGTCTACTTCTTTTTATGGTTATGATTTCTCCTTAATTGAGTTTCTTTCCTTCCAGCTTCCTGAAAAGCTTCTGTATTCCCAAGGTTGCAACTGGATTCAGCAATACAGTTTTGGGCCAGAAAGTTACACAGGTCCTAATGCCTTTGGAAAACTACGCAAATGTATGGAAACATTAAAGACAAATGTGAGTATTTAGAAGGTGGCTGGGTGACATAAAAGCACTTCTAAGTGGATTGAGACTCCTCTTGTTACATATTTCTATGGCAGTCTGACTGCCTCCTGGATTCAGAGAGCTCAGTTGCTGGACAGGCTGTCACTTCTGCAGAGGAGCTCAGGTTTTGGGGTTTTAGGTTAAGTACTCCATCTCCCTGCAAGTCAGGGAGGTCCCCTTCCTCACAGCTGTTAGCACGTGGTTATCTGCCATCACCGTCAGATATCTTCCATAATATCTCATCATTTCAATGAAAATAACTACATGCTATATAAGATCCCCCTAGATGCCCTCCCAGAACTGGAGAGAATCAACAAATGGTGCATTTTCTTGTTGTCTTTCCAGTGTTCCCTTCTCCACTTAATGTTTTGTTAAGTTTTTTTAATAATTTCTCTCTGTAAGCTGAAGTGCTTGAATGCAAAGATCTGACAGCCTCAGTGACCTGTCTGTTCAGCAAAACCAGATTGCTTGTATTCCCAGCCAGGAGTTTAATTTTATTTATGCATCTAAACACTCTGGGAGCTTAGTAGCATTAAAGTCTCTTGAAAAAGAGATGAAAATTCAGACTGGCAGGAACTTGCATTTTTGCTTGAGCTCCTCTAGGATGTCTGCTCGTCTGTCATTGTGTGAGCCTGGAACTGCTTCCATTCTGTTTGCCACAAACTATCCCCAGCGTGCCACCACGTCTCTTCTCCCCAGCATCCCAACTGCTTCTGTTGTGCAAATATCATTTTATCCTACTTGCTCTGTATTTGTCAGAGTGAGTATTTGGGTTGTTTGGCTTTTGGTTTTTATTGTCTTGTTCCTTGTAACTTGATACTAGTCCCTTAGGATGATGCATTCAAACTGGGTGTTTGTACAGAAAGAAGTTTCAAGTCAGCATGATTGCAAATCCATACAGTTCACTAATTGTTGCAGAGCAGCTTCTTTATGCATTATGCTTATAGATGCAATTCTACTATAACAACTATGACTTGAAGATGAAAGGAAAGTGGGCACTAGTATTTTGAGGCTTTTGAAGGAATGTTAGCTATACACTAGCATACTTTTGCAAGAGACTTGTTACATACCCCAGACTCATGAGACTGAGCCTCCTCATGCCTGACTTGCCTCAATTGAGCAAGGTGCAGCAGGGTGCCTGCCAGCTTGCTAAACAGGAGGCAGCCAGCTCTGCTGCCTTTCCCAGTTCCATCCTCATCCTCAGGGCTCTTTCCTGCAGATGACTTTGGGCCTAGGTTGTGCAGGTCAGTCAGCAATTTGTACTCCAGACTTTTCAAGCTGGTAGAAGTCCTCTAGCAGAGGGGTAATTAGTAATGTTTCATCCACTTGGTTTTGTTTTTCATCTGTAAGAATGGTCTTCAGGATGTGTGAGGAGATTGCAGCATCTGTTTCTCAATTAGTAAAGTAAATTAGACTTTTTGAGTTACAGTTCTTGGTGTTTGGCAGTTTCAGCACATAAATACAATCACAGAATTAACTGCAACTGATTTGAATCCTAGTCACTGAGCATCATCTCTTATTGTGGTCCTGAAAAACCTCTTGCTTTCAGATGACTGTTTATATCCACCGTGTTCAGGACTGGATGTCTTAATCTTTCTCATTTGGTATCTAATCCACTGTTGTTCATCTCCTGCCTGACTCTTCTGCTTAGTATGAACACTAGCTTTCAACCCCTCTAGAGCAATAGAGAGCTGAGAAGCTTCAATTGTAAGCTGAGCAGAACAAGAAATTTCTATTTGCTGTTGTCCTGTGTGTGTCTTTGTCTTGTCCATTCTTGGCTAACAAACTTAGCTTGACCTCATAATCAGAACACACTGAAGACATACAAATACATACAGTTCATAATACCGTGTCCAATTTATAAGTTCCCTTTAACTGACCTAAGCCTAACTTATAACATAAAGGGTTCCTTTGAGGAAAATTACTGAATTTTGAATGCTGTAAGTTAAAAACAAGTTAGGAGTCATCACTTAATCTAACCTTTGCTTATAGCATAGCGTATATTTGATGCACTTATGCTGATTTCCTATGACTTTGAGGTGCTTTTGGTGGTTACACACTTTACTGTCAGTCATAGCTGGATTTTCTGTTGTAATGGTGGGTGGCTTTTGTATAGAGGAGTTGCATTTGCTTTCTCATAGCAAATATGTGTCAAGATACCTTGAACAGTCTGTAGCAAATAAATTCAGGTGGATAAATGGAAAACAGAGTCTAAGACTTCACATTTTACTGCAAATCACTCAAAACCACTGGCTAATCTGCAGTTACATTTGGCCACAGGAACAGTGCAGTATGGAGTGGCAATTGCTCCTATTTTGATGTCTTTCATATTAGGTAGAGTTCTTAATGAGTTGGTTATTCATCTAAATTCTTAATAAGTTGACTAGTATTCTTCTATGCGCTTTCTAGTGGGCTGAAATAAGTGGTACTAAAGATAATGAAAAAAGAAGAAACATGTGTAATGCACTCTTTTCTGACGAGAGCAAGGAACACAAGCTATATGAGGCTATAAAATTTATCATGCTCTATGAAGTTGTTGAAGCCTACGAGCAAATGAAGAACAGGGATGAACCTATACCCCACCTTTTTCGCCGCCTCTTTGCTCGGGATACTTCATCTGACCCTTTGAGTTTCATGATGAATCATCTGAATGCCATAGGTGACTCCGGTTGCTTAGACCAGGTAATGACACAAACAAAAAACTAAATTACAGAAGTAATCCCATCTCTGATGTGACTGGGGGAATGTACTGTACATCATTTGTGATAATTGGCCCATTTTTTTCTTTGAGATGTAGGGAAGTAAACTGAAGACTTCCAGGAAAAAAAAAAAAATAGCAGAATAAAATAGTGTGGACAGTTCTCTTGCTGGGCTGGAAGTAAATGCTGTGAAGTATCAATAGATGTAGTCTTTCCAATGGGTGAAATCATTTTTCATAATCTTTTTCAGTTACAAAGTCAGTCATTAGATGATATATTCACCTTTGTTTTGATCTAACAAGATGTGGTTTTTTGTGTCTGGCTATGACCAAGGATATGAGTTGTTACCTTTCCAATCCATTTTTCCATTTTAAACAGTCCTTTGCAAGACATATTAATGAAGAACCAGTTCTCAGGCTTAAAATGAATGAAGTGCTTCCTTTTACCATTGTATCCCCATTGTAGCAAGTGATCAGAAGGTGGCAGGCTTCCCATTTTACAAGGGATCAATCTATTAAACATTAGTTCCCTATTGCACTTCAATAAGCTGTGTGAACTGAGTTTGGGAGCAGATTGTGTGGTGTCAGGTGGAAGAGGGATGTTTCCAAAGCTGCAAGTATTACCCAGAATATCCTCAATATGAAAAGGAGCAGCAGAAAGATGGTTGGGACTTGGAGAACATCCTGAAACTCTTAATTTTCTTACTGTCTTTCAAAAAAGCCTTTGCAATTCCTTGTCTATTGTTTTTATGTAAGATAAGCGACTTATAAGCAACTTGTCTTATCCTTGTCTTCATTTTTGTTTTTTAAGACTGGAAATAATAAACATCTTATGACCTCTTTCATTTTTAGGTTGAACTGTTCCTTCTTGGATACCTGCTTGAAGTAAAGATCAAAGTTTACAGACTGCATAGATTTAAATCTGAAGAATTTCAAGTAAACTGTCCAGATGAATACCGAAGGGAATGGAATGAGATTTCTCTCCTGACTGAGGATGACCACTACTATCACATCCCAGTTATCAGAACATGAAGCACAAATAACTTTTTTTAATCTTTGTATAATGTAGTGAGTAACCAGTTTCAGTGAATTAGATTTCTAATTGGCAGCAGAAATGCATGTTGATGATTACAAAATGATTTATGGGTTTATTGTGTAAATGCTTTGCTTTTCTATTACAGCTCAGTTCGTTGCCAGTCAGCCATAAATAGCAAAATATATTGCTATGCTGTCTGGGGGAAAAATGTCATATTTGAGGGTTATTGAAAATAAAAGATCAGACAGTGTGACAAAGGAGGAAAAAGTAATGCAGCTTTCCTAGGCTAATGGCTTACTCTGACATATCTGGATGGGTTAAACTTAAATTCCTAAAGCAATTCCTGCCTTTCTCTTCTCTGTTTCTAGTTCAAGTGGATGAACTATGCAGGAAACAACTCCTGGGGTCCCACAGTTTATTCTCTGGGACACTAAAGTTACAAGGATTTGAGGCTATCTGGGTTGCAAGGATGTAAACTGAGGCCACTACACAACTCTTTCAAATCCCATCCAGTTTCTCCTGGTGTTGCAGTGTCTCCCTCCAGAAACAGAGCAAGCAGGTGCAGACTATGGTTGCTTCAGACCCTTGAAATTAAGCTGATCAATGTTTGATCTACTTTATAACTGAGGGAAGTTAAGACTGATGTTTGAAGAAGCCTGTCTGGAACAACCAAATGAGATTTGCTTTATTATATGCTATGCTTTGTCTGGTTCTATTTTTTAAAAGACTCAACTGTGTTTAGATAATTTCTAAAATGAGAGGTCCTAAATTGAACAAATGCTAAAATGATACAGCAGATCTTGCAAGATGTATGTGAAAAGCATACATCCCCTAGGCATGGGTTATATTTTAAAAAGTGGAGCTTTATCATGAAACGAAGCCTTTCCTTGTTTTTATCCTTGAGGTACAGAAGTAGGCAGGTTTGGTTTTAACTCCTGCAGGACAAGGAAGAAAAGCATGAGCTGGGCCTGCAGGAGCTAAAACAGTTGCATGTAATAACTAAATAATAATGTTGGAGAGCATAAAGACTGCTCTCTTCCTTTGTGTAATGGAAAACAGTCTATTTTTATGTATATATAATTTATAAACAAACACCTGAGTGCTGTATTATATAGCAAATTTGTTTCTTGGCAGTTTCTCTGGGTTCAGTTTTGTTCAATAATCTGCAGCTTTTAATGAAAAAGGCTTGATACATATAATAATTTAATCTTTTCAAAGCCTACATGTTGAATATTTATTTTAGAAACAAACAAACCCACAAACTTCATTCACTGGATGAAGTAATTCTTCCTCTCTAGTTTTGATTCTGTTCCATGTAGGGAAGTCCTGTAATGCCTCAGCATTGGGTATTGTCTGTTTTGCATCAGTGGTATATGCAACACTTGCACATGTCAATAGAGTTGTCTATATTTAATTCTTGCTTTGGTACAAGCAGACATAACAAAAAAAGGTGTATTTTTATAGAGAGCTTTTTAATGGTTTGCATATTATTTATGAATAGCAATGCAAAAGCATTACAGCTGGAAGTGTTACATTGATAAAATGTATGTTTTCTGTAATCTTGAGCATACTAATAGAAGGGAATAATAAAGATTAATGAATAAAGATATAACAGTGGCATTTATCACTAAAATAAGAAGTTTATGTCTAGATTTAGGTCTCTTAGGCTCCCTGCCTGGTGGGGGAGTTAATGGCAGTTAATTAGAAGAGTTTCTACAAGGGTGTGGTTCTTCTTGCTGACTGCAAAGATAGAGAAAACTTCAGATGAGGATAATAGCAAGTTCTACATGTGAATTCAGAGTGCTCTACACAGAATCTTAGGCAACACTGAGACAGGTTTGGAGCTGCAGTAATTATAAACAGGTTTTCTGATAATACACTTCAGCTATGTACAAAACATTTGTGTAAAGGAAAACATATACATGTAAAATATACATATCCATATATAGGAGAAGAAAACCAAAACATCCTGAATAAGCCACATTGGAAATATCTGGTACTGGGGAAAGGACAAGTGCTGAAGCATCTTTTCACAACAGTGGTTACAGACAAAGCTTGCTGCAGGAATCCAGAAGCCTGGACATGTGCTAGAGAGCTCTGCTGGTGTCAGATCATTGCTCTTATCTTTCTAACCTGTGAATTTCTGACTACTGCCTTTCTGCTCTTGAACTGTGGAAGGCTGACTTTTTAAGCTTACAAAATTGCAAGAGAATAGTAATTTGTAGAAATGAGACTTGAGTATGAAAACCATGCGATGCAGCATACAGGTGTTTCAGCTTCTTTTTGTATAGTGCATGTGTGTAGCTTTTGTCTTATCTACAGATAATTGGAATAATGGACTTGTATTATAGGTCCAAACCCTAGAATTGTTAAATGTTTAAAAGGTACATCAACAATAAGCTCAGGTCAGAGTGATTCAGAATTCATGTAAAGTTTGTGAAACAATTAGGTTATTATTGTGAAATTACAGGATCAACCAAAACAAGCTTCATTTTATTTTAAAAAAGTTTTAAAGTATTTCCCTAATAAATATGTAAGACTGATTTTTAAGACTCTGGTAGCATAGAGATTGAAGAGTGATTTTGGACTTACTGCAGGAGCTACATGGGAAGTGACATCTTACTAGTGATGAAGACACAACTTGGTAGCAGTGTAAGAAGGAGAGTGTGGAAGAGAAGTGGCTGAGAAGTTCAGCAAACGTATAGCTACCTCCTGTGCATGTGGGCTGCCTGCCTATTACAGGAGATGGGAACTTGTCCCAGTGTTGTATCCAGGTCAAGTATATTTGCAGGTCTTATTCTACTGCCTAAACCATGACACATCAGTAGATCATGCCTGCTATTATTTAAGCATTTCTCAGCCACCCTTTTGAAGCAGAAGACCTCTCTGCTGTGAATTTTCTCCTGAGCTATACAAATATACAAAGACTTCATCTCCTTCACAAGGCATGCGTGCACACATGGCCATCATTTACAGTATAGCAGCAAGGATACACAGCCAGAAAACAACAGCTGCTGTCAAAATTTTGAATGAGACATTAATGAAACCACAAGCTCTTGTTTAAATTAGCTGTGAAAAGCCCATCTATTCAGGAGTATGGAAGATCAAATTGGGCTAAAGGCCTGTCTTCAGTATAACCAAAGATACACTCAGAGTAATGTTGCTGAATGTTCCAGATTAGTTTTGATTGTATTTTTATTATGTAATTAAGGAGAAAAGTAAAAGTTTAACTAGATGTTGAGCATACTCAAAGTTAAATTCTTCTCATCTGCTGTGAGCTTAAGTGCAGAAAGTAGCAGCCACAGCTGTTTGAAAATTAAGTTATATCTTACAGTACATCCAACCTTTTGGCTTGCCTGGGCTACAGCTAAAATATGTAATGTAGTTAATGCATATAACAACATTGTTAACGTGTATTAATATGAGAAGAGAACACCAAGAGAACTAGTGGAGTATTTGACATTGATCAAAAAATGTGTTTTCACAGGCACATACACATATAAATGGGTTGAAATATTATGAATGATAACCATTGTTTTACTCATCAATTGGCATGAGTGTAATGTGCAATACACATGGGTTTTGCTTCAGCTGAGCATGTGTGATAGGTGCAAGAAGTAGTTGGCACTGCATCCCACTGCAGCAGCAAAATGACATGGCCAGAAGAGGGGCATGGACATGAGTGGCCTTTGAGGCCATTTAATCCAGGGCAAAAATTCTCCATGTGATCTCACCTGTCCTCTATGGTAGCCTTCCCCATTTTCCTAATGGGAAAGAGCTCTGGAGCTTTAAAATAGCATGTTGGCTCTTTGAAAGGTGGAAAACCAAATGGCATTGAGCAGTAGTCAGAAAATTCAGCTTTTAGGAGGCTCTCATGCTGCAAAGAATTTTGTTGGAAGTCATGCTATTTAGCAATAGTTTTGCTTTGTTTACTCCTCTTCATTCAAATATGAATGACACCTGCTGTCAGGTGGCTCATACAGGTTGACTTTACAGCTTTCCCTGCTATTTCACTCTCAAGAATTATTGGAGTGAACCATGCTACGAGGGGCAATTACCCTGACCTGCATCAGATGACAGTGAACAAAATATGTAACTCAGCTTCATACTGGATTGATTCTGAGTCAAAACAAGGGAAGTCGCTGAAAGACTACTCAGAAGCAAAAGCATAGGAGAAACAAACTAAAAAAGCCTTTTTATACTCAGTAATGTGAGAATTATACACTTTCTGTTTAAATGTTATGCAAAACTATTTGCTGGCTTGACTAAGAAATGTGAAAGTAGATGTTATTAATCCACATGGGAGATAGGTGCAAATAAACCAAAGCCACCAGCTAGATGCTAGTTTGTTAACTCATCTTTTAAAAGCAAACTATTCTACTATCAAGTAGGACATTGACTATTTTTGAGTTTTCTTACAATTGTAGTTGTGCTTCACTACATATACTAATAGTGGAAGGTACTTCAGAGAGATTGAATAGATGTAAATGCCTTTTTACAACACTGCCAAGTTATTTATTATCTAAATGCACATGGCATCTCCAGTAAAGATATGTATAACCTCAAATTTTTAAAAAATAAAGTAAATCTGTCAGAGTTTTGGACAAATGACAAGAGGCATATAAAGGCACATTAGGCGAAAAATTCAGTTTCTTTCTTCATCAGTTTTCCTGTTAGGTCTCTTGTCTCTTTCAAGAATGAGAAACAAGAAATGTGTCCTATTTTCCTTCTTTTCTCTTTCCACCACTGCTAACAGCGTGGAGATCGTTTGGAAATAATTTAGCAACAAGAATTCCTATTGTTTTGTTTTTTTTCCCCCCCACCTCTTCTGCTACCAGTGTTTGTTTTGCTTTATCAGCTCAGTTTGGTTGTCAGTGTCACTGTTGCCCACTTTAAGAGTGTAATTCCCTGTGTTCAGGCTGCACCTCTTCCTGCACTATTCCTCATCTGTCCTTTATGTACAAGAAGTAGGCTGCTTAATCTTACAAGAAAAATTCCAAAAAATTTCCCTACTTTAGGGATCCTCATTTTAGTTCAGTATATCTTAACGATCAATTCATCCCAACTATAATGAAATTAGTTTTTAACTGAAAATTTTCCATATGTATTGAGAAGATTTAAGAACAATACCATAGTAATGACTTTATTCTGTAGTAAGACTTAAAACCTGCTTCTTAGTGAAAGCCAGGTGTATGCTGCCAGCTGCATTCTGCTAAGAAATAGCCTTGTGCCATCCTTGGAGCTAGTTCTAACAGAGGGGTAAGGAACATGGACTTCAGTAGTTCTGGTTCTCCTTGTTGAGGAAGGATAGTGCAAGCTCTAGCCAAAAAAGGGACAGCTATGTGCTGTCAGGGAGTGAAAGCTAAATGCTTAGAACAGGAGCTGCATCATCAAGTGCAAGTCTGGGGAGATGGTCAGCTGGAGAGTAGTTGTAGAACAGGCATAGATAAACCCACTGTTTCCATTAGGTATTTGCAAGGGCAGCCACATCTATGCAACTCCACATGCTTGTTCATTAGGTAGACTTAAGGACATCAGCTGTGATGGATTTATTTCAAATGAATGGATCTATTTTGATTTGAGAACTGGAAAAATCCATTAGTAAAATTGATTTTTTTTTCCAGAAAGAATGAAAGAGACCCATGAATTTGAGTACTGTAATAAAAGCTATATCACTTCTTGATTTTTGATACTAACAGAGTTCTCTGGTTAAGGTTACATACTCTGAGAGTTCTTTGTGATGTTTTATTTCAGTAACCCAACTTCATGCTACTTATCTTGATCTTAGTAGCACACTATAACACAAAACAGATTTGACTACAAAAAGGCATCTGCTTGCTACCCTCTTGTTGCATCTGAAGTCAATTTTGCCATCAGTACAGCTGATGAGAGTCCTTCACTGCTCCTTTGTGAGAAAGGGTCATCTGCACGCTCACATTATCAAACAAATACAGATATAGACACAGACTCCCTAGGCAGAACATTACAATTCACACCTTAACTTCATCCTGATCACAATTCCAGATAGTGGGTTTGCTTCTCACTCTTTGACTTCTACCTACCCCATTAAATCCAGGTGCTCAGGCAGATCTACAGTCTTACTTTTCCAAAGAGAAGGTCACATCAGCTCAAAGAATTTGGTGGCTGTGCTATCTGCATTCTCACCTGAAATGTGTGTTTAACTAATCCCACTAACAGAAATTTCTGCTTGAAAACAATAGCCTGCAGTCACAGACCAGAAACTGCTGCACTACCTATATACTTCTGTTTGTCACATAACCCAGCTCATGGGGGTACTTCATAACTTGGTTCAGGTGGCTTCAGAAATTTGTCAGAAAACAATGATTTATTCAATGTAAACAGAAAGTCAAGTCAGTTTTAGCAGCAGCAGCCACAGTAATTTACAAAAACAAAACCCTCCCTTTTTCTTTCCTACTATCTGAAGAAAAGAAGACCTATTTGGTTTTACCATATAGTAAATACACACACACACACATTTGGCAGATTTAATGTAAGAAAATGAGTACAAACTTCAATCCTGAACTTCCTTTACAAGCTATAATGTGATGGAAACTACAGCAATGATAGCAGGAGAACAAAGTCCTAAGCTGCAGTAAGCAAGAACAAGCCCAAACACAGAAACCACAGGAAACACAGAAAAGAAACACAGAAAAGAAGAAAGTTTGCTTACCTTTAAAGGCCTCAGGTATGCAGGGATCTCCAACAAGGTACTATCAGCTCCACTGCCAACCCTTAAATGAGGTCTGGGAAGGGGTGGATCCTGGCTCCACCTTTTATTGTCACTTAGGTATACAGCATGCAGCTGAGCTCCCCTGTGTTGGTCCTGCCCTCCTACCAGGTGCTCAATCACCGGTTCAGGCCATGACTCAGCATTTCTGCTCCACAAGCACAAAGAAAACTCAAGCAAACTATAAAAGAAAAACATATCTGATGCTAGGGGTGGAGAAGATGGAGCAAGATGTTCACATTTTTAAATTGTTGTCTTATGAAACTGCTAGAGTTTTGCATTTAGTATCACTGGTTTCTTTGTGTCTCTATTTCCTTTTTTTTTTTTTTAATGTAGAACTGTCACAGTTGAGGAAGTCAGAGGCCCAAAATATGATCTTCCACTGCGTGTTTTATAACCCCTTTAGTATCTGAGCCTGGGGAAAACATAAAGAATTATAAACACTTTGGGAAAGAAGTGTGTTAAACTAGTATATTTTCTTTGGCTTGGTATCTACTAAATTATTTTTTGCTGTTTGTTTGAGGTGTTGTTTTTTTTTAATATATTTTGGGATAAACTTCCCAAAGTTCTTCCTAGTAATGACAAAGCTGAATAATTGTGCCCTGTATTTCAAAATACAGAGACTTATATTCTTACTTTGACATTTTGGGGTTGAAAACTTAGATCTCAATCTTATTTTCAGCCAAGATGCCAAATTTTACCACTCTCATTAAAAAAAAAAAAAAAAACAACACACACACAAAAAGA